TCAGAGGGATGGAGCACCTCTGCTATGAGGAAAGACTGAGAGAGTTTTGGTTGTTCCGCCTGGAGAACAGAAGGCTCTGGGGAGACCTTATTGCAGCTTTTCAATACTTAAAGGGGGCCTATAAGAAAGACGAGGACAAACTTTTTAGCAGGGCCTGTAGTAATAGGACAAGGGATAATGGTTTTAAACTGAAAGAGGGTAGATTCAGACTAGATACAAGGAAGAAATTTTTTACAATGAGGGTGGTGAAACACTGGAATGGGTTGCCCAGAGAGGTGGTAGATGCCCCATCCCTGGAAACATTCAAGGTCAGGTTGGACGGGGCTCTGAGCAACCTGATGTAGTTGAAGATGTCCCTGCCCATTGCAGGGGGGTTGGACTAGATGGCCTTTAAAGGTCCCTTCCAACCCAAACCATTCTGTGATTCTAAGTCCTCTCAGTTATTGGTTGGGACATTTCAATCAGCTTCTGCTCTGAAATGTCTGTCTGCAGCAGTTGGCCCTTTCACTGGGACCTCTGCACAGGATCATAAGGGTAAAATTTACCTCTTAGGATCCAGTGACTGTTTTCTGCCTGAAATGACAGACTCTCAGAGCATACCTAGGCTTTGTAAAGGCTATGGCCAGCACATGAGAGATCACTAAATATTTTCCTTGGTAGAGGCTGCCAGCCATTCAGCTTTGTTTCAGAGGAGATTACTTGTAAGATAAAACTCTATATTGTGTAGGAATTTTCTATACATCCGCGCCGCTTCATCAAGATTAACTGGATTAAAGCGGTTTAACTGAAACCAGAATTTGACCTACAATGCCAGCAGTGTGTTGACAGTACCACTTATTAAAGAGCACAGAGTCTGGAAGGTTTCAGGTTTTGCAGAACATGAGGGACTTTGTGCTGACACGGTTAAACAGCTGGCTGGTGTTACCCACCGATTCTCTGGGCAGCGATAGCTGCGAATTCACTGCTAGAAATCCAACCTTACTCTGAAAATCATGTGTTGTTTAATGGAAGGGCATGTAGTTTGAGAATGCTTTGCTTTAAACAATGTGTTACTAGGAAAAAGAGGTCTTTGAATGTCTAAGTATTGATGGATGCTGAGTGACAGGCTGAAGCAGCATGAGATGTGCAGAAGGTGGGAAGCTATTTTAGCTGTGATTACAAAATTGGGTGAGCTCAGCATGGGATGTTCTTGCATTCAAGTTTTTAAACTTCCTAAGAGAAACAGTGTTGCCCTGTAAAACTGAGTTCTTATTCTGGTAAAGCAGAGGATCCCAAACATACCTATGTGACAAGCTGTGCCGCGGAAAGCCTGCTCTTTCTTTCTCAGTTGTGCTGCAGGGATTGACTGCATTTGCCCAGGGAAAGTTTGAAACATTTTTTAATCTTGGTGTGTATAAAGATGGACCTTATAACATGAAATGCAAGTTGGGCCTGGTTGCCATATAAACCACAAAATAACCTTGGGAGGTGCTGTTCTCTGTAGAAAGAGCAGTTTGTATTCCATTCGCCCATTGCTGAAGAAGATTAAAAACATCTTTTGCTCTTCTGGGATGATAAACATTGTTGTTCCCGGTTCTTTGGGGAGTAATGCCGACATCCTAGAATGATGCTATACCTGCTTGTGCTCCTTTTGTCTCCTTCTGCTGAGCATTTCCCATGGTATCTTCATGCTAACTGCAAAAGTCACTTCTGGAAGTGTCAGATAGGCTCCTACCACCTCTTGGGAACGCCTGTAGTGTTCCCAAGACCTCCTAGGATCTCAAA